TGCTCCGCACGCCCCACCCAGGCCGCAAAGCAACGAAGAGCCAACCGCCGACTCCACGATGGATCGCCCCCATCTTCACGAGACACTCTCTTTGGCATGCCGAAACCACTGCTTGCCGCGTTGGGGGTCAAACTGTAGGGCAAAACCCCTGCACCAGACGGCGTGCGTGTTGGGGCGCTAGGGCACCTCTTGGCGAAGGGCATCTGGTTGCTTATCCTTTAGATCCAACACGGTTCGATGACCGGTGTGATTTTGGTCGAGCGGAGGCGTGCCGCTATTGTCAAACTCTTGAAACCTGTTAAGTCGCCCAAGCAGTTAGAGCCGCACCGACCAACCAGCCCCACCCCCATTGTCAGCGAGGTTGCTGAGAACATGGTACTGACTGAAGGGACTGCTTTGGGTATGGATGCCGCGCCCCCACCAGCATGCGCGCCACACGCAGCACATAAATGGGGGCGGGCGCCCTCGGCGGGGTTGTTTGGGGGAAGCACGGGGCCCGGCGCCGCGGCCGTGGGTTTGCAGCGCACGCCCCGCGAAGCATACGCCTTTCCGCGCGGGGCGTGCGGGAGGCGCACCCCACCTTCCCTGCCCTTCTGCACCTGTGAAGGGCCTCCTCGCCTCCCTGTGGTGCTGCGGCTGCCGCCTCGGTGGTGCCATAACGGTTTAGCATGCTTTCTTGAGACGGCAGCCGCCGAGCGTGTTTGCCTTATTTCGAGCTGGAGCAACAATGTCCGGTCGGATTGGGTGGCCGTAGGAACACCCTGTTGAGGGGGGAGGGCCCGGGGCGGGCTTCCTCTACGTCGTGCAGCGGTGGCGGAAACTGCCACACTGCTGGGCCGCCCTCTGCTTCAGAGTGCGGCGAAGCCAAGCGGAGTGATGCGTTATGTCTCCGCGGCGTTGCGCCAGCATCGTTTCTCCTGCACGCGATTGCGGAACTGTTTTTGGAGTCCCCTGGCCCTCTAACAAGACGCCCACGCTGGGTTGGATCGTGAAGGGGCTCTTTTGCCTCCTCAGCTGGCGTTCTGAAGTCTCCGGCTGAAGCTATGTTACCCGCGATCCACTCCGCACATCCCGGGACGCTCCGAGGACTTCTTCGCAAACTTCTCAGCTACATCGCAATGGGAGACGCCAGCGTTTCAAAAAGAAAATAACTACCACGCCCGCACACCAACGAATCGGGCTGATAGTGGAGCCCCTCGTGCGGCAGGGCACGCCGTCCGCTAATGTGCCAGTGCCCCGTTTACAATGCACTGAGGGGTGGCAGAGGGTGCATAAATACAGCCGCCCCTTCCCTGCCAGATGCGGGCGGTATTGGGAAAAAGCAAGGCTGGGTCGCCAGCCTGCTTGTCAGGTTTGAGAGGCGGTATGGCAACGCCTGTTTCCCAGGAAAACGGGACAAGACCACCATCGACACCATCGCCGAGCGTAGTCGCCACTGCTTTCTGTACGGCGGGCGGTTGGTGACGCACGGCCCTGCAATGTACGGCGGCAGGCTGTGGCGGACCCAAAAAAAAACAGCCCCGCAAAGTAGAGGCGTGGAGGTTCCCCAGTGAAATTTGACGCGGCAGGGCGTGGGCCTTTTCCATGCTGAGTCCGTTGGCGCAGCTCATATGAGTTCATTGCTTTAGAGAAGTTTGGATGCACAGTACCAAAAGGGCAAACGCCCCTAGCTCACAAAGAGGCAGGCCAGCTGCTTTATGCGATCCGGGGCATAGCAGGGGAATTATCCGCAAGGCGGCGGCGCACTGCTTGGGGACTGCCGCATTAAGCAACAACGGAGGAGCGAGGCCCAAGTTGAGGTGGTTCAGAGTGCGAGGTAACACCGCAGGTCTTGCAGCAGCGCGCGGGGAATTAACCGTCTCCGTTGCGCCCCGCTTTGTGAACCATGTGGGGCAGCTGCGCCGCCGTGGTGCGCAAACTGTGGCGCGCATGCTGGTGGGGGCGCGGCATCCATACCCAAAGCAGTCTCTTTAGTCGGTATCATGTTCCCAGCAACCTCGCTGACAATGGGGGTGGGGCTGGTGGGTCGGTGCGGCTCTAA